CCAAGTGATTGTACAGTAAACTTGCAAGCGATTGTACAGTCAATAAAAATATCCGACATTGAGAAAATGAATATATTTGGGTTTCTACTGGGACAATGACTTTTACACTTTCAGACAGATAGGACTATATATCAGAAAATGTACATGTGAAAATTCTGGTAGTAACGATGGGTTTTTCGATATTTATTTAACAATTTTGATCGCTGCTCCGTGACAGCTTTTGTTTTACTCGGGATTTACTCGGAGCCCCGCCATTCTAAGGAAAACGTTTGGATGCATATGTCGTTTTTATTATTTTATTGGTTCATATATACATAGAATGTTTTGATTACAAAAACTTGAAGCAGAAACATTATATAGTAACATTTGAGTTCATCAAACTTTCCATCAAGCAACTTGTTATTGTTTCGAATGTCGGAGCCCCGCTTGACAGTCTCCCGAATAACCAAAACATTATAAAACCGTACAGTTCCGTTCCCACACTGTGAACTTGTGGTTGACTGTCAACTGTTCATTCGAAATTCAATTATCATGTTAAATTGTCTTGCTTTACCTCATACAGCTTTTCTAAAAGAACGTCACAGTTTGCACACATAAATTATCAGTTGCAAAACAGCTGAGGATACGCTATTCAGTGGTTCGTTCATTTCAGGTTCATTTTAGGGTTTAAAAGCCCAACAATAGGGTTATATTTACAACTACAAGAAGTGGCATGAATAATATTTGGGGTACATACTAGGGGTTTGTTTTCTAACGCTGTGAATGTTAGACAATTAATAACTCTAAAAAGTAAAATAACAAAAATACCGATCTGCAAGGAAAATTGAAAATGGAAAGTCATTTATCAAATGGCAAAATCAAAAGCTCAAACACATTAAACGAATGGAAAACAACTGTCATATTCCTGACTTGTTACAGACATTTCTTTGTGTAGAAAATGGTGGATTAAACCTGGTTTTATAGCTAGCTTAACCTCTCACTTGTATGACAGCCATATAGAGTTCCATTATATTGACAACAATGTCATATGTCAAATACACATTTTGTGCATTTAATTTTAATTAATATATACTATTCAAATAATACACACAGAAAAAAGAGCACATTTCAGACTTTTATAAAATGTTTATTTTGTGTTAAACGCAAGAAAAAAATCCCCATTATGTGGTTAGAATAGACTACAGATACTAGCTGAATAAATAGATACGCTCCATCTTTTTTAATGCAAATTATTTTTTCTCTTTCAATTTCATTTTAAATGTTAACACGTTTAGAATCAACAATTACTGAGTTTACAAAAAAGTAAATGCTTTTTGTCATGTATAAATTAGTTTCATTGTCATTCAAAATTCATGCACATGACTATTTCTGTTTAACGGATATTTATTTTAATTGTGTCAAGTATAAATACCAAGACACAGAAGGGCAGAAATGTCCTTTGGGAGAAATATTGTTCGTGTGTATAGATAAACGTACCATTTAGTCTACGTTTATATATAAAAGACTATATATAAAATTAGCCTTCAAATTCATGGGAACAAAATTATATTCATATCATACCTTCTCTATTAAAACACAGTTTTCAACCTCGATACTCAAGCTGTATTATTAGTGATGAAGACAATTTTAATTTGTTAAAAATTGTCATGTAGTTTCAGATGAGTAATTTTGTTAAATTTACATCAATATCTCTTTATGTTCAATACTTGCCGATGATCTCCCAACAGAATTTTCAAAAGGGGGATTGATTATCCAGGAATTTTTACACAAGCATTTTGTGAAAGAGAAGGAGTGATCATGAAATTTTTAACAAAACAAATAACATAATTTTAAAAAAAGATGGTTCTTTAAAAACTGTGAATGTAAAGCACTGCTCTGTTTTTTTTTTCGTATTTCTTTTTTACATCGACTACTTAATGGGGCATTAGCCTACGAGATATAAAAACAAATAAAATATGATTTTTTTTTTGTTCAATCATTAATGAAAGTGATATAGTTAAATAATAATTCGCTTTTAACAGTCAGTTTGGTTCAGTTTTGTCAAATTAAGCAAAGGAAACATCGCTAATGAATTATTCACTTACAAGTGAATAATTCGACCTCATTGAATCCGTATTTATGTGAACTTTAACTGATCCCTATAGCTAGAGATGGGTACGCATGAATTAGGCGTGTTCAGTTATTAAATGGAAAAGAATGTAAACATTGAAAGTGAAACAAGGGTAAACCATTTAGTTGACTGGTTCGATCTAGAAAAACTCATTCTTATACAGGTAGAAACGATTATTAACATACTTTTTTAACCTATAATATGAAATCAAACAGACCTAGAAAAATCCAATTGCACGAGTTCGCAATCTGTTTATATCTATGTTTATGTTCATGTTGGGTTATATGACCACCGTCGGCAGTCTTCGGAGGTCACCTCGATGGTTAATTAGATGGCGTCTAGAGTAAAATACACACGAAATGCTGATATAAACTATCGAGTCTATGCATCGTAAATTGTTTATTTCAGATTTTTCATAATTTGGAATGCGTTTTAGTATATTATAAGTCGAATATAAGACTTTGAGTCAAAGCGGTGTACATGAAGTTGACAGCTAATGCCCCTTTAATTAGACACTTCAGCACACTTTCCGCCTTTCTTAGTTTGAATTCCCTAAAATGCTATGCATATTTGATAATAAGAATTGCAAAATAATTAGACAGGACACCAGGCCACAGAATCCTAAAACAACCGACTCCTCGGTGAAAACAAACCGTACAAAACATCGAACAACACATTGTCTAGATAGACTAGACTTAAATTGGTTAAGTCACAAAATGTGGGTGGGTTTAACCAATTAATAACGCTAAACTTGATATGGAAAATAAGTTCACATTATAAGCCAGTTACAGAATATTAAGTAAATTTTTTGAATGACTTTGTTACCTCCACCCCATCTGAACAATTCAAAATTTACTAACAGTAGTCCAACTATTACTTGGTTTTGAACATTGGAGGAGGCAAATCTTGGAATTTTACGTAACTGAGAACATGATTTTCAAAAAGTTAGGCTGTAAAATATCTTTGAAAGTACAGCATTGTTTTTTCCGTATCATAACCTGCATGTGTTATAACTATAAGACAAATTTTAGTTAGTTGAAATCTAGAAATGGAATAATACATCATTTTTAAAGGTATTTGCCCTTAGATAAAGTAAAGAAATTTGATAAACGAAGATGCTTGAATTAACAGACATCTTTCAAATTTCACACCGTATCTTTTGAACATCTATAAATATCACTCAGGCATTTTCTTTCTTGTTTAATAAGAGTACTTGTACGACGTGAATAGTGTTAAACGCCATATTTATCCCGAAACAGCATTATGTAAAATCTATGGAATGCGATTACGTTTTGGGCAATTTCACGGGCGTGACAAAATAGTCCGCATACAGCTTGGAATAGAAGTGGGGTTGGATAAATATTTTGCGCGGAAAACTTTTGAAAGATTGTAATATGGTGGTTTCTGAAAGGTGCTATAGTTATTTACAGGATATTACTGGACTAGCAAAGAAAATAGCATCCTAATTGATAACTCAAGCGCTCTTTGTGCTTGATTGTGATATACTTTTAATATAGTGTATTTTGAACTCTTCATTTAAAAATTAAAATACATATTGGTATACACATTACAATTAGTGATACTTCAGGTAACCACGTCAAAGATACTTTTTTTTACTTGTAGTTCAAATATGTCAGAGGAGGTTGAATGCATTGATAAAAGTGAAGGTATTAACAAAGAGTATTTAGATTGTCTGCAGTGTAAGAACCAATTTGACGAAGATGACCGGCAACCAATAGTTTTACCATGTCTTCACACACTCTGTTCTTCATGTGTGAATAATGGCATTGAAGATTCGCAATTATCATGTCCAGATTGTAGTCGGAAGTATGAAGTACCCGATAGTTCGCTGGAAGCATTTATTGTTGATTATACACGATTAGACATAGTGAATTTTGTCAATACATTTCATCAAGGCAAAGACATTTCATGTGAGAACTGTGAAGATGGTAAAATTGCTGACTATAGATGTCAAGATTGCGAAACGTTTCTTTGTGCACCATGCAGAAAAAGTCATACAAACATTCGAAAACTTAAACACCATAAAATCATTGCCATCTCAGACATAAAAGATGTCTCCGATTTTAAACAGGAAATGTTGTGTCCAATACCTGGACATAAGGACAAACCACTTGACATATATTGTGCAGGTGAAGCATGCAAAAAGGCAGTTTGTAGCATGTGCTGGATGGAAGACCACTCTGGCCCAGACCATATTAGGAAAGACATAACTAATGTATTTGAGGAAGAGAAAAATGTTCTTTTAACCAAAGCAGATTTGGTAAATGAAAGGTTTGGAAACCTTAGTCGACTACAAGATAAGATAAATGATGAAACAGATGATGTAAGTAGACAAACGATTAAAGCTGAGTTTGAAATAACATCGTTTTTCAATCGTTGTATTCGTCTAATGGAGAAAAGAAAAGAATATTTACTTGAAAAGCTGAACACAATGTCGGAAAAAAAGATAGAAGACTTAAGAAATCAGAAAGTAGATTTAGAAAGTAGAAAAAGCATGTTGTCTCATGGTACTTCATTTCTTGGACAGGCTTGTTTATCTCAGAATCCTGCTGCATTCCTCACTTTAATTCCAACGATTTATAAACACTTGGAAAAGTTAAACACCTTGGAGTTTCAGGCTGATGCAAAAATACACAGTGAGCTCACCTTTTTCATTGAGGATAAAGGTGTATTCTTTGAAGAAAAGGTAAAAACATTAGGAGATGTTCTATCATCCGATGCATATCCTCTCACGTCAAATGCATCAATACCAAATTCAATGTACAGAAATCTAAACAAAACCTTCCAAGTTACTCTGCGAGATTACAATTCAAAACCAGTTGATAGTTCAGCTCACGTGTCACTGTTAATAAAGTCGGAAAGCTCTGGAAAAAGAGCTAAAATTAAGTTTAAAGAAATTGGAGAGGGCTCATACGGACTGTACATTTAAAAACCTTGGGATCTACAGTCTAAAGATCTTGGTAAATGGAGTTCCATTCAAAGATTTACCTGAAATGGAATGCGTAGAACATGAAACAAGTATGTTTATTTGTAACATTGATTAATTGTTTAATGAATGTAAAGTAAATAAACCAAAAAATTAAACCCCCCCCCTAAAAAAAAAGAAACCAAACAAACAAAAAAAAAAAAAAAAAAACAAAGCACAATATACATGTATTTACGTGTGATATAAACAGAAACTGTTATTCATTCCAAAAATTGCAGAACCTAAAAAAAAAGAAAGAAATACCAAATTAACAAAAAATTATTAAAAAAAACACGAAAAATGCTAATATCATATTGATTATCTCTCTGTATTTGACACACACACATACGTACGTATAAATTTCACATTTTATAATACTTCTTTCAGATTCAATTGATAATGGTGACAAATATGAAGAAGAAGAGAGTAAGTATACAAACTGAAAAGCAAGTTCACGAGATTGGTTTAAAATCTCACTGTTAGCGAACATTGATATTCTAGCGTTGACGTGTTTAATTTCAACAGGCATGTATTGTTTTATGACTGCTTTTATTTCTTTTATTATATATATTCTCTATGTTGTCATTTATAATATTTTGAGGTGTTTTTTGTTTTATATGTTCTATTGAACCATGTTGTTTACTACATTTCTCTTCAAATTACTGCTGTATTACAGCTCCCTAGATTGTCAAATCTTGCTTAATAAAAGTATTTTAAGTAATATTAAATAATTTAAAGCATCATTTTATTTATAAAACATCATTTTATTCATAAAATATATCTATAGAGAAAAAAAGGGTGAACAACTGTTTTCATTTTATAATATCATATATCATAAAAAGTTGAATGTTTTCTAGCTTTCTTCTGTAATGGAGAGGAATATTCTGAAACTGAAGACGAATATGGTAGGGATCTTATTCATAATGTTACCCAAGTGTGGAGAACGATATTAAAATAATTGAGCTCATGATAAGATGTGTTTTTGCATAAAAAAAGTCTAGAAAGAGAATTATTGAAAGCTTTGTACGATGCATTTTAATACTAGTAAGATAACGTTCTAGAAAACGATATATAGTTTTTTTCAATACTTTTTCCCACCTTACCAGAGAGTTACATATATACGTCTATCCTTGACGGTATCATGTTTCCATGTATATTGGTCAATCTAAATGAGAAATGTAGATGACTGTCATGTATTGAACTAATTTTTCCGGCGATTCCTATGAAATAAATGAATGGAGGTGTGGAGTGAAAACACAGCAACACTAAGACAGAAAACAAAACTAAAAGACATATTTATTTCTATTAAAATTTATAGAGATGGAATATATCAAATATTTTTAACCCAAATATCAAAGTACGTTCAAGAAAAATGTATATAGAACAGCCAAAAAATATCACTTTAAGTATTCTATCGGCAGCATATATAAACATTGCTTCAAAAATAGCTTTGAATAAATCGATGTTAAAACAGCCTGTGCACAACGATAAACGACAAAAACAATATTTTCAGGTTCATCGGATGCGTATATGGAAGACGACGATGGTGAAGAATTTGGTAAGCAGATAAAACAGATAATAATAATAAAAATTATAATAATAGAATACTTTTATAAATAGGTAGGAATATGTGGAAAAAACGTATGCGACTATATAACAAGTAACATAGATTAAAGATGCACTACACACATTTCCATGCCATGTCACATCATGTGCTGTGATACAAAACTAGAATAAGCCTTCAAAGAAAGTCATCACCCTACTAAAAAAAAGTCAGTGATTCGGTACTCATATGATTTATCACAACTTCTCTTAAATTATCCGTTTATGAAATAAGGAAACATTAAGAAATTAAGGTTCTAACTCCCTCGGGCAAAGGTAACCTTTGAAGAATATGGCTATTCTCTTTATGTCCCCTTTTGTTAACTAGCTCCTCACGTTTTTAGACGTTAGGAGGCAAATGATACCAAAGGGACATTCAATCTCATAAGTCGAAAATAAACTGACAACGCCGCGGCAAAAAATGAATAGGACCAGACGATAAACAACAGTATTCAAAACACAACATAGAAAAACCAGAGACTGAGCAACACGAACCCCATCATTTGCTTTCAAATATTTGGGTTGGAGCGTTCCTGATGAAGGTGTTGTCTATGGTGCTATAAACTATGTAGGTTGTGGTGTTTTACTGCCGATTGATACTTTGGTCTGAGAGAGCATGATTTGGTTATTGATTGTTGCTGGCTTTGGGCTTGATTTCATTGGCTGCAAGCGCCTTCGATCAGAACTTTATGTCATTTGTCTTTGTGTTGGTTTTTGTGCTTGAGCCAATCTGGTGAGTCGTGCCATTTCCAATTGATTTTAACAGTTTGTTCTGTGTTGTTCTGTTACATCACTAATAAAATCAAAGGTGCCAATTGTACTACACCAGATGCATATGTCGACTGTCTATTTTCAATAAAACAATATCCGTATTTTCATGCCAGTACCGAAGACCTTATGTCTTACAAAACATCAGGAGAGGCTTCAACCCAGAAGTAATAATAACATTAGAGCTTATTTCCTAATGCTTGTAGAGTGGGACTATGGTTGGCTTGCTTGCTTTGTTATATAAATGTTTGCTCAAGCATTGTAATTAAGATTGACATCTGAAAATATAAATAGGCGGAGTTTAACCTGTATACTTTATACTTAAATTTGATTGGATGTTATCCTGGAGGTTAAAAATCTAAATAAAATGTATACAGGTTTAACTCCGTCTATTTATATTATTTGCAGATGTTAATATTAATTACAATGCTTCAGCAAACATTTATACAAACAAAGCAAGCCAACCAATGTCTTACTCTACAAGCATTAGGAAATTAGCTCTAAAGGTACATATTTTACTGCACCAGATTCGCAGCTCGAAAATAAATGTCTCATCATTGACGCTTAAGGCTTAAACATTCTAAGATTCAAAACCCAATACATACTTTAAAAGCTGATAAAAAAATAAATAAACCAATTGTTATAAAACTAATACACAAAGCTTCTTACCATCAAACACAGATCACTTTTGAATTCCGGTGGCGTCATTTTCACCATTCCCGAGTTATGTCCCTTTATAAATTGAAAATTTTCTAAATTTGTTATTTCCGCACTTAAGTTTGCCTCAACGAAATGTTATAAAACTTATACACAATGCTTATAACCACCAAACATAGATCAAGTTCGAATATGGGTGGCGTCACTTTCGCTTTTCTTGAGTTATGTCCCTTTGTAAATTGAGTAATTGCAGAATTTGCCGTATATTTTCATGCGGGGGCATCTGCATCCCATGGACACACTCTTCAATTAATTTTTGTTTCAAATTGGTATTTACCCCAAATAACATTATGTTCCTATGAAAGGCGTTATTTAAAAATTATATCAATCATTGTATGTTTTAGGGAGCGATTGCCTGGAGTCTGACGAGTCAAGTAGTTTTATTGTCCGAGGATTTCCTAATGGTACCCCGCCTAACAGCATAAAAAAATATTTCATTGAAATGTTGGTGACAGGAGAAGATAACGTGTGTGAAGTACAGATGAATGAGGAAGAAGGATGGTGTGAGATTGTCTTTTCTAACACAGATGGTAGGTTTGAACACAGCACAAGAAATTGTGTCTCATAGCAAAATGAATTAATTTGTAAATTTTAAAAGATTTAAAAGCTTGATTGATGCCTGTAATGTTTCAAACGATTCTTTATAAATAATACCTTTTCACATGTTTCATTAGTGAAAAACACTATAATGACAAGCGATTTATTATAATTTTACAGTTATGAAAAGGTTCTCTGGTCGGAGACTGAAATTCGAAGATCATGATTTGACAATAGAAATGCAAAACTGCGAGATTTTTAGCCCATTAAAAATTGCAAACTTAGATACGAATAAAATGAAGTTCCTCCTAGGATCAGCATTAAGCAAGGAAGTTCTAGACGAACGCCTTCGACAGTTAGATGCCAACATACAATGGTCGTCCAGTATCCATGATGAAAGCTCTTTGACTATTGAATGCTGTTTGACTCCTGATATAAAAGACTTTAAAAAGAAAGCAAAAACCTGGCCAAAATGCATTGAAAGAGCCGTAAAACAGTTTTTAGAAACATTATATGTTACAGAAGAGAAAATTAAAGAAGACGAATGGGATTTTCTTGAAAAGCGAGTCAGTGAAATCCGAGTTACGAACGACAAAAGAGTGTTTATTCGTGAAGATAAAACAAGGTTTTATGTTGTGATTGTTGGGTACAAGATTCCTTTCATTGATGCAACTAATAAAGTTCGACTGTTTACAGCAGACGTCACGGTAAATGAAAGGCTCGAAAAGTTCGAAATACATTTACTATCCAATGGAAAGGTCCTGGATGATATATGCAAAGATTTCAAAGGAATAAAAATTATTCCAAATGGCGACAGAAACATCGTAGAATTTTCTGGAACTGCTGGGATTGTAGCAGTTGCAAAACAGCAAATGAATGACGCCCTTCAAAAAGTAACAGAAGTACCGATTTGTGGATTTTCGCCTGAAAAGATAGCGTTTCTTCAAACGCCTGTTGTAAAATTAGAATTGGATAATCTACTGAAGGGAAATGGAATTCTTGGTGCATGGAAAGTAAAAAATGACAACACATTAGTGATGTATTCTTTCACGAAAACTTCGGCTCAGAGTGCAGCACATTTAGTCGAAGACTCTGTAGTGGAAGTTTCCATTGATGTTGATACACAACCAGACAAAAAAGAGTGGAATAAGGAGGTAGAGCATATGAAGAAAAAGAAAGGTGGCCATGTCAATATTGTGACAACTGACAATAACAAAGTTATAATATTTGCAATTCCGAAAAACAATGCAAAAGCGATTGAGGAGCACGTCAAAATCTTTCACAAATATCCGGACAAGAAGGTACGAGGTACAACACATTTTAGCACAGAAACAGGTCAGACAATTACCACAATAGTCGGCGACATTACCGATCTTGATAACGACGTGATTGTTTGCAGTTCCAGTAGATCACTTGAACTCAGTGTTGGTGTTGGACATGATCTTGTTATGAAAGGTACATAACATCGTATTTATAAATTAAGAGATATATCTAACATATCCTACCGATTTCAGTGTTCCAGACACGTATTTCTGGAATACGCTTCATCAGATACGAAAACACGAATAACTAATACAAAAGAAATTGTTAGGAATTTAAAATGGTCTGGGCATAACATGTTTGTAATTATTTTTAATTTGATCTTTTTCACATGTTTCTGTGATTATTCCTGATATTTGAATAACTTACGATCGCTTATTGTTAAGATTTGAGTATTCATTTTCCCCCTACATCACATAATTTACACAAAACCTATATGTTTAAGTGGTTTTTCATTCGGTGTGGGATGGCATATATGTTGTTGAATATTTTATGACTATTTACAATTTTTCTTCGTAGTGTCTGACTATGTATAGCAGTGGTTTAAAAAGTGCATGAAAGTCTTCTTTTTTCAGGTGGTGTTGAAATCCAAAAAGAATGTAAGGATTACCTTGCAAAGAAGCAAAACAAACAACTTGATGAAGATGAAGTTTTTTGCAGCTCTGCGGGCAAGCTGAAAGGTAAAATGGTCGCCCATGTCGGTGGTAAATCATGGTCAAATGATCATGAGAAAGAAAAAAAATCCCTTGTGAGGGTTGTGCAGGAGGCCATGAGAAAGACCCAAGAAAAGAATTTTACAAGCTTTGCGATACCTGCATTATACACAGGTCATTCTGGGTTTCCCGTTAAAGAGATAACAGAGTGGATAGTGGAGGCCATTGACAACTTTCTTCAATCACATGGTAAACAGACTAGCCTTCAGAACATTTATCTCTGTGATATTAAGAAGACTACTGTGGACAGTTTTGTAACGGCTTTAAGAAAATATTATAGCCTTACGTATGAAAGAGAATAGAAATATCCTCTCATTTAACGTCGTATTAGCATGTTAATTTCTAAATGTACGTGCATGTACTTATAGCTGTTACTTTCAAACAATTTCAATATTCATATTCGTATAATTTGCATTTGTGTGGCATTCTGTTGTTTTTGATTGTTCAATATGGTAGCAAAATTTGGAAAAATTTCTTGGATGCTTAAATTTGAGACTTGTGATGATTCGGTTGAACACACATTGTTTGATACAATCAATGATATTAGCCGGATTAAAGAGGTAGACCCGATTTCCCTCTGTAATTATTTCACTCATAAAGTCAAAAGTTAAAGGTTGTCGAATTTTACTTGAATATGAAAGAGTCTATATCATATCCTTAAAACATTTTTTTTTTACAATTTTACATATTTCCATAAAACTAAACTTCTATTCAAAGCTGCATGTTGGTGTTGAAGGCATTTGTATACAAAATTGCATACTAGTATTTTACACATGTTTGCATCAAAGGACGTGAAGTCTCGCTAAACAAATTAAAAAAAAATATATCCCAAAAGTAAAATAACAAAAATACCGAACTCCAAAGGAAAATTCAGAACGGAAAGTCCCTAATCAAATGGCAAAATCAAAAGCTCAAACACATCAAACGAATGGAAAACAACTGTCATATTCCTGACTTGGTACTGTCATTTCCTTATGTAAAAAATGGTGGATTAAACCTGGTTTTATAGCTAGCTAAACCTCTCACTTGTATGACAGTCACATAAAATTCCATTATATTGACAACAATGTGTGAACAAAACAAACAGACATAATAGGTAAAAATGTCAAAAATAGGGGTACAGCAGTCAACATTGTGTTATAATCTTAATCACTATAAAAACAAACAAATATGTCAACAAAGAAAAACAAAATGGCATATAGACAAAGCATATAAGCAAAAATAAAAGACAAGAATACAAAAATTTACCATAGCACAATAACACAACGACGGGATGTATAAGTTCCCAGCCACGCCAAAGGGATATTACCAAAAATGGACTAATCAGTAAAGGTAATAATTTACAAAGACAAATAAAAGAACACTTTTAACACATAATTAAGATGATAAACAACGTCAGTACCTTGAATCTATACTTCAAGACAGTCATGTATTATTTGTGAAGTTGATACGGAATATGTATCAACAAGGTCTTGGCAAAAGACAATACATAGCATTAATTCGAACATGATTTTTGTATTGTTTAACGATGTCATTCTTTTACATGTTTGGGTGAAAAAGTGTTCTAAACATTTGCCAGCATCTGTCAAAATAGCAGTTTTGATTTATCTTCAGACGATTATAATTTGGCAACGTGTTTAAAAATAAAACATAATAATTTAATTTAAACCTCGTAGTACACATATTAGGCTGCGAGACTATAAATTTAAGTAAAGATTTGAAGACATTTTGAAAACGGCCATGGTGTGAAATGAATTCAGGGGAAATTGGTTCTATCTCTTTGTGTTGTTTGTAACATTTGTACGGTATAAACCACGTCCCACCTAATTTTAATTATTATTGTAGCTACATACAAAGTGATGTAAACAAACTGGAGTCTCCATTGACTTAATGACGAGTTTGATTCTTGTAAATGGTGTTTTATTTAATTAAAAACAATCAGTTTGTTCAAAATGATTTCTTTGTATGATGCTTTCCTATATTCCAATTAACAAAATTGAATGTAATTTTACTCAATACACCAATTTTCCGTTGTTGGTATAACAAAAGAATGATAAGTACATCAGTTTATATTCGAGATACAGTTGTTTTAAAAAATCTGATTGTTTAGGGAAAACATTGTCTCTTGATATTTTAATAGGGAAAATATTAAGTCAATAAAATTGAAACGAAGAAAAATATACAGTCTCCACACATATTGCAATTTTAAAGACTTCCAATGATTGAATGTTTATTATTTTTACATATTGTTCTATTCGTATGTTATTTAGCGTAACGGGCGCCATAGTCATAATAATTAGTCAATCATTATATATGGAATGTATCACTGACAACAGGCGTATTTCCCAAAGAGCTAACCGATTTTAACCTTTAACCGAAATTTACTGGTTATCGGTTTTTACCGTCAGCAAATCATGACATGTTTGCCCTTAAGGAGATCCCGTATTTCATTTTCGATTTGGGGGGAAAAAATGCTTTGCTCAACGATTTTGCTTTACATGCTTGCTTTTCGTATACGTCAGCATTTTTGTGTGTTTCAGTGCTCTCTTTTCGGTGAGAGAATATTGTGTTTTCGTGGAGATTTGATTTTGTGTTTTAAAAAAATAAAAAGTTTTTTTTTTAATTATATTTTGTTACACATTTTAACTCTTGGTTAACGTTTATTCACGAAATCAACACAGTTTAGCTTATAAATAACAGTACTTACAATCAACAACGATCCAAATATATTATATACTAAGAAAGACATTGTTCTTTCAGTCAAGAATTCGATTGCCTTTTAGTGATTCGTTTTACATCAAATAAATTAGAACAATTGATTTTCAATGTCCAAAATACAATTTTTTCAATCAGAATATTCTTTTTACATTAATAATCGAAACTAAATCTGAACTGATTTCACTTTTCTGAATTAATGTCAAAACTGTCGGTTGACGATTCCATAACTTTGAGTTGATTTTTCATTTTGATCACCATATATCCCAATATTCCACCAGCTGCTGCCAATGAAAATAGTAAAATAGAACAGAATGTTGTAAACAAAACCACTGGTTCTGATTTAAAGCAGTTATGCCCTGTTGGTGAGATCTTCTTGTGTACATTGGACGTTTGACCCGGTTTTACAGAATGACCTATAAATATGAAAAAGCTATTAACATTTAATGGTACATTTATACCTATAGTAGGAATATTTTTAAGGAACAACATACTAGTCTTGTGTGCTCATGTAGCTATATCCCTTTTTCACCTTTTTTCGAACTTATTGTTTAAGCAACAATTTGAGTCATTAACTTATGAACGCATAATTGAATTAAACAGGAGACCTTAACATCGTTCATGACCGAGAGTTGAAATCATTCCTCAGTAAAGGGCCTAAATATCGTCCCCGTCAATTATTAATTGCAATGAGTGTCGTAACACCATCCACGACTCACTCCGTACTTACTGCTCGAAATGGATAAAACGAGAAAAAGCTGACAAAAAATCCTTAGTAATTCTTTTTTTTTAATTCTGTAATGAACATAGTTGATATTCGTATTAAACATTTTAAAGAACATTTTACTCCTAACAACAACCATAATAGCCCTATTTCTCGTATCAAACATACGCTAAAAGAACTCGCCAATGAATTGTTTATGTCCCGGCTGATAAGGCTGCTAATAATATCATTATTGTTTGACGTAAATTTTACATTGAGGTTCTGCAAAAGGAAATCACGAATTCACCAACATTCCGACTGACTCCATTTTCGGAAAAATGACATCTGTAACAAACATAAACTTTTAGCTACCTCTTTAGAAGCAGAACCAAATACAATGAAAGTTCCAACTATGTACTGGCTTCCGAAGCTGCACAAAACACCTTACAAATATAGATTTATTTCGTCTTCAAGCCATTGTTCCACTACTAAACTGTCTATTCTACTTACTAGTATACTTGGTACAATAAAAAACCTGGTAATAAATTGTTCAAATAAGGCCTTTGAAAATAGTGGAATTAATTACTTTTGGAGTGTCAAAAATTCGTTGGAAGTACTTGATAAATAGCATGCTAATATTGGTGATTTCGAATCTGTTCAAAGTTTTGATTTGTCTACCCTATATACCACTTTGCCTCATAATCTTATTCAGAAAAAAATCACACACCTAATTAAATGGGCATTTAAAAAGTCAAAATGCGAATATATATGTTCAAACTCTTTTAGGTCATTTTTTAATAACAAAAAAAAAAGAACTATGTCAATTGGACCTGCTTTGATACCATAAATTCTACTAGATAACATTTTTGTTCGCTTTGGAGATTCCGTATATCGTATATCCGTTATCGGAATTCCAACTGTGCACCACTTATTGCGGACCTGTTTCTGTATTGTTATGAGTTACAATTTATGATTAAAATCAGCAAAGACCCATCGAAACAACATCTGATACAAAAATTTAATAACACTTTTAGATATTTGGATGATGTATTTGCTCTTAATAATGACGACTTCAGTATGTACACTAAAGAGATTTATCCTGCTGAACTGACTTTAAATAAAGCTAATATTAACAATGAACACTGCCCTTTCCTGGATCTTGATATCTATATCTTTAACGGGAAGCTTAATACCAAAATTTATGATAAAAGAGATGATTTTTCATTTCCTGTTGTTGATCATCCATTTTTAGATGGTGAAGTTCCCTTGTCACCATCTTATGGTGTTTATATATCTCAACTTGTTCGATTCGCTCGTGTATGTAACAACGTACATGATTTTAACGAAAGAAATCTCTGTATTACTGAAAAATTATTACACCGGGGTTTTCGATATCACAAACAAGTCAAAACATTTACTAAATTTTATCATCGGTAAAAGGACATCATTCGTAAATATAAATCAACATGCAGACATCTTATACATTCAGGTATTTCACATCCAATCTTTTATGGTAATATTCTATACAAAGCACAAAATTGTCGGCATTCACCTCAAAAGCTAACCAAACCTTTAAACAGACTTATTCAGAAGGGATATAGGTACGATACTGTTGTCAGGTCATTAAAAATGGCATATTTTGGTATTAATATTGATTCACTCATAGGGTCTTTGCATCGGAAATAAACACATTTATTCTAAAACCAGTTGTTGGCATGATATGGGTTATGTTCTTCTCATATATTTTATGATGGAATGGTACTAAATCCCTAACGGAAGGGATTGTGCTTGATTTTCATATGATGAAGACATAATCTTTCAATCAATTTAATTGAGGTCTGGAGCTGGCATGTCAGTAACTGCTAGTAGTCCTTTGTTAATTTATGTATCATTGTCATTTTGCTTAGTTTCTTTTGTTATCTATTCTGACATCGGACTCGGACTTCGTTTAAACTGAGTTTTACTGTGCGTATTGCTGTGTGTTTGTTTATTCTACATTGGCTAGAGGTATAGGGGAGGGTTGAGATCTCACTAAACATGTTTAACCCCGCCGCATTTTTGCGCCTGTCCCAAGTCAGGAGCCTCTGACCTTTGTTAGTCTTGTATGTTTTTTTTAATTTTAGTTCATTTATATGCTTTGGAGTTTAGTGTGACGTCCATTTTCGCTGAACTAGTACACATTTTTGTTTAGGGGCTAGCGGAAGCCCGCCTCTGGGTGCGGGATTTTCTCGCTGTGTTGAAGACCCATTGGTTGCCTTCGGCTGTTTTCTGCTCTTTGGTCGGGTTGTTATCTCTTTGACACATTCCCCATTTCCATTCTCAATTTTATATGTTTACTCTAACCATACGTTTTAAGATAAATTTGAACCTTACGTTTTAAGACAAATTTTAACGTTAAGTTTTACGACAAATTAACGACCTTCCATTTTCATGGTGTTACGGCGCGTAAAATCTTGCGTCATGACAGCCAATAATATTTCAGATTCAGCTGTGCATCTTAAAGCCAGTATTTCTTATAAAACGGGGATTGACTGTTCACATATACATCCCGCATGGTCATACGGATGTATCTTTAGAAAAAATTCTTGTTCGTTCTAGATATCATGGCAAACTCTAACAATGTATTTATTTCATTTAACATTTACCGTCCCAAAACAGACTGAACGTGATTGTGTATTTATACATCCCATGCAGCCAAACACATAGCATAAAAGGGTGGTTGAAAGTGTACATAGGAGGCCTGGAATAGCCTAACACATACAAAAAGAAAATGTCCATGATTGTGACTCATTGTGTCCTTATACATCCTGCACATCCAATCAATCCCCACTCTTAACAGTCTAATTGGTTTCACAATTCTGAATTACTAGTAGAATAAGAATAAGACTTGAATCCTGTTTTCGCCTCTTAACTGGAAACAAATGATAAAAATAGTGGTAAACCCCTAATAATCTGTTTCAATCAACGATAATTATGATTGGCCAAAATCTACAATATCATTAATCATCCTAAGAATGACTAGTTCTGTTTTGTTCCAAACGAACACACAACAATACCGATAAACCAAAGTTTAAGCAAAACGAAGTCCCGAAAAAAGATGAAACAATAATAGATAAAGAATACGAAGTACAATATGAAAATAAATGTTCTGTTTCTGAATGAATTGTATAAAATCCTCTTTCCAACCCATCTCCAAAAAAAATCTTAAATTACCATTTTGCGACGTAATCATTGTTGACAGTGTCATCCTATTTGTTGATCTCATTTGTGATGTTGTCTTTGTTTGTGTGGTCATGGTTGGCATATCCGTCGATATTGTAGAAGTTGTTGTTTGGATCGCCACTTTTGTGGTGATGGTCGGTATTGTAGTCGTACTAGATTGGGTGGATGTGGTCAGTACTGTCGTCGTTGGCGTAGTCGGTTGTCTGGCTGTGGTGGTCGTTGGCATGGTAGTGGTCGTCGTTGGCGTGGTTGTTGTCGTCGTTGGCATGGTCGTGGTCGTCGTTGGTGTGGTTGTTGTCGTCGTTGGCATGGTCGTGGTCGTCGTTGGCGTGGTTGTCGTCGTCGGCCTGGTCGTCGTTGGCGTGGTTGTTGTCGTCGTTGGCATGGTCGTGGTAGATGGCGTTGTTGTTGTAGTAGTTGTCATTGGCGTGGTTGTCATAGGGGTAGTTGTGGGTATATCTGTAAGTGAGCATACAAAATAAATGATGTCTTTTTTTCGGTTATTTTGAATTGTTTCGTGTATCTGTATAGTGTAACGATGTACTCTCTAAAAGATAATTTTGAAACCTACAGAATGAAATCCAAAGACAAGAACTTCGTCAGTATTTTTTGTGTCAATTCTTTATTTCTCTTGTTATTTAAGGAATGTAATGGTAGAGACAGATCTTTGTCTCTGTTAAATTCATCACAAACTTTTTTTAGAAGCAGGACGATTAATAGCTTGATATATTATAATAGCTAACTGTCTATCGATGAAGACCAAATGTTGACCTCTAGATGTCTTTAGGTTATCATGTCGTCTGTTCGCTGTCTCATTGACATATCTGTTCTTTTGTTCCCATCTGATAATAATAATTGTATAAATAACTACATATACAGTGTCCGAAACAAAACCTGTAACAAAGATGGAAAATTGATATTTAAGGAAGAGCACTATTACTTTTGTTCGGAACGATTTATTTTGATTAGGTTTTAAAACAAGCTATTGTAGTTAGATAATTAACTTTTTGTCTTTATTTTTCCCTTTTGTCCATTTTGTCTTTTATTAAAATACTTATTACCTGCAATGCATAATTGTCCAATCAATTTCATCTTCTTCGGACAAACACATTCTACTTTTTGTGAAGATCCAATTCTTGAACACGTTTGATTTCCTTTGCATGGACTTGGACTGCAAGGATCTGGTGAATCTAAATCACGGAAAAAAAATTCATTATAAAAGGATCCTATAATATTGCATAGACCATCTGTATTCAATAACATGGACCTATATTACGCCCGTTACTTATCATTTTGAACGAATGTAGCTATAATAATAAATGTAATTGATTGCTTAACGTCCGGTGGCAAATATTTCATGCATGTTTAGGACGATCAAAATGTTATTGAAGTTCATATGGATATGCATTTATAGATAATTTGTCCTGCAATTTCTGTTCGCAAATAAGCAAATTTTTACTCTGTATAAAAGTATTCATGCAAAAAATTGAACAATAGTAGCGACCTTTGCCTGCAGTGCAAATATGACTGACATGAACCAACGATAACCACTGAACTATAAGCTACTGACTTGCGACAGACACATACATAATGTGGCGGGGTTAATTATGTTTGTGAGCGCTCAACCCTCAACTAACAGGGGGCAGTGGTGTAACAGTACAACATTAACTCCAAAGATCGGTACGAGGCACTAAAACAACTAATATAAAAACATTAGACATAAAGCACCGAAATAAGAGTACTCGCAGTTACTGAAAAAAAGTTCAAAGCCAATTACAGCTAACAAATAAAGCATGTTCTCCCAAAGAAAAGTATCAATCAGTACACAACCAACGGATTTAGACACGGTAAAGACATCCTAAACAGTCTGAAAAACGTATGACCTTGTGCAATGCCAAAATATAAGTAGACAGTATCGATGTCGTAGGATGTAGGATCATAACTGTACATATATTGCAACACATATTTGGTTTGTGGTAACGAAATCCCTGACTTAATATTTTTCCATTTATACATCTATTACGTTTATTGACATCTAAAACGCGACTACAGAAACGGGCATCGCAAATTAGTTGTGAAATATACACACCGTAAGACATCACCGTTTAAAAAGAGGAAATTAACAGTCGGGAACGAAAAATCTTCTCTTTTGTCGTAACTTTTTGTATAGAGCTCAATAAATTCTCATAAAGATGATAGATACTAACAATAAAATTTAACAAAATTGGTAATCATATTAACAGTACCAATTTACTGCCCTTTGGTACAGTATAGATTTATTCATGATTTTTGGTACAGTATATTATTCATGATTTTTTTTTGTATCTTGTAAAACCTTGTTATCTATCATATCGTTATTTAAGAGTTCGATGTTGTTTTCCAGCATTAATTTGTATTGTATATACAAAAATAAGAAGATGTGGTATGCGTGCCAATGCGACAACTCTCCACCAGAGACCAAATGACATAGAAGTTAAAAACTATAGGTCACCGTCCGGCCTTCAACAATGAGCAAAACCCATACCGCATAGGCAGATATAAAAGCTCCGAAATGACAAATGTAAAACAATTCAAACCAGAAAAATAACGGCCTGATTAACGTACACTGATGAGTGTTTTATAGACGAATCGCGCGCCAGGTGTACGAAATTTAAATTAATCCTGGTATCTATGATGAGTTAATTTACCCAAATGCCAAAAGAAATCCGTTAATATGTACAAGTAAAAAGCGAAAACCAATTACTAGGTTCCTGACAAGCACATCAACTTGTGTCAGGAATCTCGATCAATGATCTTTAAAAACATAAAAGAACATAAAATACAATAGAACATACACGACAAGCGACTAACTCTATTATAACGATTTAACTAATAACAAATGTACATGCACAAGCAAAACAGAAATAAACAATACCGTATGGAATAAAGTTCGCAGTTACTGAAATCAAGCTCAAAGTAGATGATAACCTGTCATTATGAAACCATGCATTCACACACTCCTATATATCGGTTACTTTATTAAAGATATAATTTCAAGAATAAATTAAATTACAATATGGAGATAAAAAAAATCATTCTATTCTTGCTTCAAACTATAAATTAGCAATATGTTCAATCCAAACAATAATTTTAAGTCTATGAGACATTTTGAAAAAATCATTCTTTACTAGTGAAACTTACCCCAGGCTATCAGTGTTATGCATCTCGTGTCACTTGTATGTCTAAAAAAGGAAAATTATTCAATCTTTCAAAAATTTTTGGTTGATGGTACCTGAATATTGTCCAATTAAAAATGTGACGTGTGTTCAAAGAGTCGCTTAACGTTTTGACTCGAAAAATTGTCATTTATTGGTTGAAAATAACTAGTCAAGTTAAATCGGTGACAATGCATAACACAATTTTATAACAACTAAACATTTGAAAGTGATTTTTATTCAAAATTACTCCTTATACAATTATCCTTGATTTTGATTCATTACTATCCAGTGTTTTTGTCTCATATCAGATGAAATTCGTTCATATTTAACCACCGCCGGTGTATTTGCTCAAAGATTTCTCTTTTTTACCATCACTGCTTCACGTAATTGCTTGGTCATTTGTACACATTATTAAAAACGACTGATTTTGTTATAACGACTTGATCGTCATTATAGATAGTGAGCTGTTGCATGATTGCAAATGAGACAACTAACCAACAGATCCCAAATGAAGCTGATCTATACAACTATAGGTCACCGTACCACTTTCAACTATGAGCAAACCCATATCGTGTAGTCACCTATAAAAGGCCCGACATGACAAAACAGCCTGATTAGTGGGAAAATAATAAACGTGAAAAAGAAATATCACAGAAATCAACCAACGACAATCACTGGATTACAGGCTCCTGACTTGAGATAGGCACACGTACTATGCATGCTAATAACAATTACGAAGTCATAAAAATCATAAGCAATATGTAATCTGTACTATCGGTCTCAAGGAATGATCTATCAGTGAAAAGGCCGTCTTTACACTTGTGAAATTTTACCCTGTGCTGTCTTCAGCCATGCCACATACAATGTGATTCCCTTGATCGTTTACTGTCGGTGTCCATGACAATTCCCAGAAAACGACTCCGATTCTTTTTGGATCGTTTGTTGGGCCCTTTACAACCATTCCTGCCGGCCTGGTTAGACTAAGTTTGGTTACACTGTAAAACGTTAAATACTAAATAGATTAGACAAGTGCCTGTGATTAGATATGCAAAAAATATCCTATCTAAAACAGATTTATAAGACATAATCAATACTAGATAATCTTCATTATTAAAGGTATATTAATTCCATCCATTGAGTTGTTGCACTTTTGTGAATAGGGATGAATTAAAAGTTGCAATGCCAATGATTAAAAAGAAGTTACTTGTATGAATAAAAGGAGATGTAGGAAGCCATACATACATACAGACAGACACACAGACAGACAGACAGACAAAAGATACTGAATGTCACTTCACGTCATACAATCAATATTTACAATGTGCCTTTGTTTTATACAATATGTGTTGTATTATTGCTAAAATTAAACTACAAGCTTTCATATTTAATATCTACGATTTACACTATCATATTAATATATATACTATATATATAATAAAATTTTTCTCATATCATACATCTGACCTCTTGATATTTTTCAGTTGTTTTAGTCGTTTGGTTGCTGTCTCATTGATGCATACCCCGAAATAGCTTGGTATGAAAATCAGTGCTAAATGAGCGGTTTGCTTATTATATATACATGTTTATCGATTTAACCCGTTAATCTTTAACAAACTTATATAGAATATCTACAAAGTCCTATCATTAATATGCATTACCATTATGCAACGTATCATGTCTTTGTGTATTTGAATGTTATTATCGGCTGGACTGATCACTCACATTAATTATAGACTTGTGTAAAGTCAGGAAAGCAATTTTCATTTGTTTTTTTCTTTGTTTAATTTGTTGTCTTGTACAGGTTATTGTTTTTGGTATTTGCAATTAGATAGACTATTACCATTGTTAATAAAATCCTTCACACTCTACTTTTTTCAATGGTTCTTCTTAATCTCTCCATACGTTGTATATTTTACACTCTTGGTTGAGGGCAATTAATTAAACAACAGCTGGTTTTATTGTTTATTTCTGATATATTGTTTCATTGGTTGGTCCTAGACAGATTTTAACTCTTTTGAACTTTTTTTTCTGTTTGGCCAAATTAGTTTGCATGCAATCAAAAACGTTTTACATGTTTTGGCTTTTCAATTTTTTTTTCTCGACGTGCCTTATTATTCCAGAATCACGCTTCGTGCGAAAGAAGTATTATATATTTTTCATATGCCCTCTATCTCTCATTTTAATGTCTTTTTATACGTAAGGTAGTTTGTATGTTTCCTTTTTTCAGACAGTTCATAAACAGCAGTCCTTTTTTT